ATGGAAATTATCACTCCATTCACAATAAAAGTTTTTTTAAAAATCCTACAGAGTACTGCTTTACTTTAACATATATTAGATGGACATGGGACTCCTGGTGTGGCGCTGCAGGATCAGTACTAGACAGTGAACCACTAGGTCGGCAGTTCAAATCCACCAGCTGCTCCTTGGAAACCCTCTGGAGTGTGGCTATGAGTCAGAACTGACGCGATGCACTTAGCAACAACAGTAACAACAGGTCGCCATGAGTCTGAATCAACTAGAAGGCACCTGGTATGAGGAGTATACATCGTCAGGAAATTCTGCCAGATTCAGAGGAGGAAATGGAACAAGGGAGATCATGGCTGACGTCAGGTGGATCTTGGCTGAAAGCAGGGAATAACAGACAGATATTTACTTGTGCTTTATCAACTATGCAAAGGCAGTTGACTGTGGATCATAACAAACAATGGATAACATTTTGAAGAATTCAAAAGCACTTACTTGTGCTCATTCAGAACCTGTACATAGAATAAGAAGCGGTTAATCATTCAAGCAGAACAAGGGGATACCGAATGGTTTCAAGCCAGTAAAGGTGTGCGTCAGAGTGGTATCCTTTCATCAGACTTATTCTGTCTATATGTTGAGAAAATAATCTGAGAAACTGGATTATATGAAGGAGAATGTGGCAATAGAATTGCAGGAAAACTAATTAACAATATGCGGTATGCAGATGATACAACCTTGCTTGCTGGAAAGAAAAGAATTTGAAGAACTCACTGATGAAGATCAAAGACTGCATAGATTGAGCCTCAATGTAAAGAAAGTCAAAATCCTCATAACTAGACCAGTAAATAACATTATGATAAACAGGAAAAAAAATGAAGTTGTCAGAGATTTCATTTTACTTGGCTCCATGAACAACACTCATGGAAGCAGCAGTTAAAAAATCAAACAACATATTGCATTAGGCAAATCTGCTGCCAAAGACTTCTTCAAAGTTTGAATGAGCAAAAATGTCACTTTGAGAACTAGTTGTACCCACCCCAAGCCATGGTATTTCCAATCACCTCATATGCATGTGAAAGTTGGGCAATGAATAAAGAGGACCAGAGGAGAATGAATGCATTTGAATTATGGTATTGGCAATGAATATGAAAGTCCCATAAGCTGATGGATGAAGGAACAAATCTGTTTTAGAAGCTCACTCCTTGGAAGCGAGGATACAGAGACTTTGTCATTTGTACTCTGGATATGTTATCAGAAAAGACCATCCCCGGGATAAGGACATCATGATTGGCAAAGTAGAGAGTCAGCAAAAAAGAGGAAGACCCCTCAATGCGATGGATTGTTACCACAGCAACAACAATGGGCTCAAACACAGCAATTGTGAGGATGGTACAGGATGGAGCAGTGTTTTGCTCTGTTGTACATAGGGTCCTATGAGTAAGAGTCGACTCGATAGCACATAACAAACAAATCACAAAACATGGTCCTGAAGAAGCCAGATTGCCAGGACTCTAATCTTAGTTCCACTAGCTTAGTTACTTAACCTTTCTGTGACTCATTTGGATAATAAAATCTACCTCAATAGGTTTGTTGAGAGAATGATATGAATACATGTAAGGATGTAAAGTACTTTGAGCCATGCCAGGCTAGGTAAATGCTGTTGTCGTTGTTAAGTGCCATAGAGTAGGTTCTGATCCATAGCAACACTGTATAGGGTTTCCCATGAGCAGCTGGTAAGCTTGAACCACCAACCTTGTGGTTCAAACTGACTTTGCAGTCCAGCGCATTAGCCTATGGCGCCACACCAGGACTCCAGATAAATGCTATGATGATGGTATCTTTAAAACTTGATACAAGTGTTCTGGAATCCTGGTGTGGCGCTATAGGATCAGCACTGGACTGTGAACCACAAGGTCGGCAGTTCAAACCTACCAGGTGCTCCTCAGAAACCCTATACAGGGTCACTATGAGTCAGAACCAGCTCAACAGCATTTATCAACAACAACAATGTAAGTGCTCTACACTTTTACAACCACAACAAAGAAACTAACACCTCCTCATGTAAGTTTTAAATACATAAGTCACAAAAACAACATTTTGATCTCTCCTGTGGTAGGAGTCTTGGTATGTGCTGGGGGTTAATGCCCTGGACTGCAAGGTCAAGTTGAAACTGAAGTTAGGTGGTTCACACCCACTAGCTGCTCTTCGGAAACTCTATACAGAGTCACTATGAGTCAAAACCAACTTTAAGGCTCTTAACAACACCAAAAAATGTGGTGCTGTGAGGTCAGTGGCTCAAACCCACAAGCTGACCCCAGAAAAAAGACCCGACAGTCTGCTTCTGTAAAGTCCTGGGAACCCTATGGGGCAGCCTTACTCCACTGTATAGGGTCACTATAAATCTGAATTGACCCAACAGCAATGGGTGTATTTTATTGCAGTTTCTAAACCAGAGGATGAGACCTCTTCAAAGAGCAGAAACCTTTTAAGGATCTAGCAAAAGATGGCATTTCACAGCTCTCTAAACATTGTGTTAACTATTTTAGCCTTCTAACTTATTCTCTTTATTAAGACTTTTTAACTTTTGGAAAATGAGGTGGGCTCTGTGTTTTTTGCTCAAAGCTTTATGATCCCTTCCAGAAAACCAGGAAGTATCTTACCATCCAGGGACGTGGCCAGCTGCTCACTCCAGCTCCAGATTCTTCTCCTCTCTTGGGTGATCTCTTACAAAGTGAAGATCCTTTTGACTGGGAAACCATCCCAAGTTGTGTAATGTTGATGTTGATAAGTTCTGTAGATTTGGTGCCAACACATAGAGACCCTGTTTCCAAGGAGCAGCTGGTGAGTTTGAACCACTGACCTTGTGGTTCAAGCTAACCTTGTGGTCCGGTGCTGCATCTTGCAGCGCTACACCAGGATTCCAAGTTGTATAAAAGGATGTTCAAATCCACCAAATCCCAGGTCTCCATGTATGGTCTTTCTCACTGGCCTGGCAGGAGGGCTGTCACCCTCAGTTAGAGAAAGTCTCTGGGAACAAAACACGTTCCCCAATCTTCATAGACCAATGCCAATGGGCTGAGTCAGGGAAACACAGGCTGCTTGGAATCTTAAGTTAGGAAAAGGGGTCCAGGTCCAGTGACAATTAATACTATAAACAAAGTTAGTTAATACTGTGGCTTTTACAGTGTCACTTCTCAGGGCCTTTGCTATGCTAAGGAGCACCTTAATATCCAAGATGAGATATAGCACCCTTTGGTCTTGAAATGGTGCTATATTGGCAATCCTGTTAGATCTAAACCCTCTTTTAGGAAGGCATGTCCTGAGGCAGGGCTCTAGGTACATCCACTGCTATGAAGTAAACAGAGCTGCACAATCTTAGAATGAACCAGACTGCAATCCCGTCTGAACTGCAAGATCTGTGGTTCAAGTTTACCCACTAGTGGCCCCTCGGAAACCCCATACAGGGTCGCTATGGTTGGAAACCCACTGGACGACACTTAACAACAACAAACTAATATTGTTCCGGCTGCTCCCAAGAGCAGAACAGGGGTTCCTATCTATAAAAGAAGGGTTAGGGTCCTTACCCTAACATTCCATGATGGTCCAGGCCCTGGGGAAAGGTCTTTAAAGAAAACAGCAGTTAAGGGCCTGTATCAAAGAGTTACCTATGAGAGGAAGGCTGAGAAGGGGCTCCTATCACTAAATGCAGGAAGTTAGTGACATGTGTTTGGAAAAAGGCCAGCCAGGCAGAGGTGAGAGAGGACTCCAAAGGTGCAAGAGGTACTGCCCATTGGCTCTCTGTGTCCATCCGCACTTCTGCAGATGATCCCCATCACAAGATATCGAAGCACCAAGGGGTGTGCTAGGAGGGACTAATGAGTTAATGACACATAATCCCAAACTCTTGACTCAAGACCAGTCAAGGCCTGTCCCCAGCTTCAGCAGCCTCCACACACCAGACTTCCTTCCCTTCCATGGAAAGAAACGCCAGAAGAAGTGCTCTAACGCAGGCTGAGCGAGCTTCGGTGGCGCCGCCATGAGGCTGCTTCCAATTGGGGAGCCTCCCCAGATCTCTGAGGAGCTTGTCCATGTCTAGTTCACAGCAGGGCAGAAGGAACCACGATATTTCTCCTCTGGGCGGCCAATCTGAAGGGGTGAGTCCGCCTTCGAATTGCAGTCCTGTCGGAGCCAGGGGAGGGGGAGCAAGGGTCGCAACGCTTTAGACTTGGGGGTCGCTGCTTTAGACTTGGGGGTCGCGGTTTGGCAGGAGCTGCGTGTCTGGATTCGGTTCCTGGGAGCAGACGGCAGCGGAAACGCAGGGCATGGGGAGCCTGCCAGGGCGCAGGACCTCAGGGTAAGTGCATCACCGGGAAGGACTGGGGCACGGTTCTCCAGAGGGACTTCTGCTGTGGTCGGACCGCGGTGCTAGCGGGCAGCCTCACACCACCTCCTACTGGCCCTGAGCCAAACCTAGGCAGCATGCCGAGAGCAAGTAGAGGCCAAGGCAGAATCCGCCACAGATGGCAGCCCCAAGAAAGACATTGTAGGCGCAGGGCAGCGGGTAATCCTCGAAGCTGCAGTAACTTTGGCGCAGCGTCTGGTCGATCATGATGCCCATCAAGGCGATGTACAGCGCAGCAGCCAACAGATCGTGAAAAATGTTGAGCCGCTTCCTGTATTTGTCAAACAGCGTCATGAAGGAGAGGAGCAGGGTCGTCAGGCAGAAGAATGCAGACGTGAAGAGTGCAAAGTACACGGGGCCCTGGAACCCGCTCTTGGTGGTGAGAATGATGAATGTGGCCCCAACCAGCAGTTGCAGCAGCCGCAGCACATACAAGATGAACAGACACCCCCGGTCCAAGTCCATGGTCCCCAGGAGCGGAGCAGCGGAACAGCAGTGCCTTGCTCTGGGGGGAGGCCCGGAAGAGATGCCCACTGCTCCTGCTGTGGCCTGGACACTACCTTAAAAGTGCTTATCACTTGCTCTCTCCTCTCCACCCTTCCTTCTCTCCTCCCTCCAGCCCTCATATCTTTCTCTTTTCCTATCTCCACCCCACAGACCCTCCCTTATCCTTACCCCTCCTCTCTCTTCACCTCCCTCCTCCCTCCTCCCAGCTTCTTGCTATCTTGCTCTTTCTCTCACAGGTCACACTGGCACCCTGCCTTGTCCCTCTGATCCAAACTCCCTGCTCATATTCCTTAATCCTAGGGGGGCTGGCACACCCTCTAGTCCTTCCTGGGCCTCCCTGCCACTCTGCTTGGTGAAGTTTGCCACATCTAGAGCCGCCTGGCTTGCCCTCTTGGGCTCTAGTCCTGCCTGGGATCTGAAGCTGGCTTCATGAACGCCCTCCAGTATCTGGCTGGGCCCCTTTCTTTCTGCTTTCTCCTTTCCTGGCATCCACCGGGACCTCCTGGTTCTTCCTTGGTGTGAGAGGAGAGCAGAACTGGGGTTGAATTGGCATTCATTCTGACGTGAGCATCTTGAATATCCTCCAGTGCCTGCAACAAGAGGGCAGATGGGATACACGTGCAGTGAAGAGCTCTGTCAGCAACAACACACAATACCAGACCAATCAGGCTCAGGGCATGGTGCTAGAACTCTGAACCACATATAAAGGGATATTTAGAAGACTGGAAGGTTTACAGCTAGGGAAATCTGTAGCAGAATCAAGAAATCCATTGCTTTCTAAGTTAAACGCTCAACTATTCCAGGAGCCACCATCTTGGGAGAGATCAAGGCGGGGATGGATCAGAACAGCCTCGGCTGCCTGACAGAATCTCGGGTATTGGACATTTATTTTTTTTAGTACCTGATCATTGGTCTCTCGCTGTCTGCGCACCTCCATTCT